GTATGTGGTGCTGAGGATCGAACCCGGGCCGCACGCATGCCAGGAGAGCGCGCTACCGCTTGAGCCACATCCCCAGCCCAGAAAGAAAAATTTAAAGGCACTAATAACCAAATGTAATGTATGGACCGACCTTCCTTGGATCCTGGTTTGGAGATGGAGGGAACAAAAAAGACATTTTGGGGACAAGTAGGAAAATTCAAAGATAGATAAAATTAGGAAATATTGTTAACATTTTGTGATAATATAACTGTGGTTACAAAGGAAAATCCTTTTTAGGAAATGCACAATGAAATATTTAAGGGTAAGGGTCATGAAATATGAAACAGATGTTAAAATGGTTTACAGGCATATGACAAAACATTAACAAATGTGAGTGAAAGCAGTATTTTATGGGTGATCCCCCTACCCCGTATTGGGAACTGAACCCAGGAGCACTTTCTACTGAGCTACATCCTGGCTAGGGTTTTTTTTATTTTATTTTGACACAGGATCTCACCCAATTGCCCAGGCTGGCCTCAGCTTGTGATCCTCCTGCCTCAGCCTCCCAAGTAAGTGGGATTATAGACATGCTCCACCATGCCCCCCTATAGATGATAAAGTCTTTCTTGTTTTCTAATAAAACCTAGAAAAAATTATGTGAAATAGAACAAGTTGGCAAAATATTGATAATTACTAAACTAGTGTTTACCTAGGGAATGTAGGAGTTTATTAAAATATTTTCTCTATCTTTCTATCTATAAATTTCCACATTAAAAAGTTAAAAAAAAAAAAAACAGCCAGGCACAGCGAATCATGCCTGTAAATCCCCTTGACTCAGGAGACCGAAGCAGAAAGATCACAAGTTTGAGTCCAGCCTCAGCTACTTACCATGACCCTAAGCAACTTAGTGAGACCTTGTCTCAAAATAAAAAATAAAAATGACTAGAGAGATGTGTCTCAGTAATAAAGTACCCCTGAGACAGCAAATACTGGACTACTATTAAACCTTGTTCAAGTAATTTGAGCATCGATTCTGGTTTCAATATCAGCCAAGTTTTATTGGGTAGCCCCAAATTAGTGGAGTCTTCTGAAAAGAGATCACTTCCTAAAGTGGAAAATAATTCTTGAGGACTAAAATGTCTTTCCTCCCAACCCCCAAAGGAGGTACTGGATATTAAGCACAATTAAAACAGAAAAATAAGTTTATCATTTGGCAAAGATGAAAGACAGACCAAGTACTGAAAGGAAAGAAGTAGGAAAATGTCAGGACACTCAGGAAAAAAAGCAAACCAAAGAGCAGATTTACTGTGTGAACTGAGTTGAAAGTCAGAACAATCTCAAGATTTTG